TTCGCAATCTGGCACCAAGTCTTCCAGCGTGCTAATCTGGGGTCTCGGCTGGAGGGTGCGTATGTCTCGTCTTCTAGGAGTTGTAGGGCCTGCTCGCGTGAGGTAGGCGCTCCCGCCGCAATGGCTCTGTTGAGAGAGCCGTGTCGTGTGGTGTGATATGGTTGGATGTCGCGCCGGACCGGGGGCATGTAGTCAAGGACCAGTTGGTCGTCGCCCAGGAGTCGATTGATCAGGTCGTGTGGCACGCCGATCCGCACCAATGCAGCCCGGTCCATGTTGCGGAATGTCGCCAAGTCGTCTATTCCGGCTAGGGCAACGAGCGGGGCGATCGCCAGCAAGGACCGCTGGTGTAGCCATGCTCGAATATCACGGAACGTCATCTCGGGGTGATCTGTATCAAGGGCCGAGAGGGGCCAAAAATGGCTATGTCAAATGTATCAAAGGTTTGCCACACGTGGAGACTAAAGCACAATGCAAACAATCAGGGTGAGCAAAAGTTTGGGGGGATTTAGGGGTGTTTGGCTTCAAACACATGGTGCGCCTTTTGCTCTTTGCACGGGTGTCCTGACGTACCGCCAAACGAGGTTGCACTTCGGCGGCAGGTTCAGGAAGATGGGTCGTGCGAAGGCAACCGCGTTGGTCGGACCCTCCGGGCTCGCGCGGGACACGGACGCCCTTCGGGTCGTAGTGGTTGCGGTGCTGGTCGAGGTCCGTCACAGGGCGCTCAAGTGGTTGAGACGGTCCGCCCCCTCGAGGTCTTGGCAGGTCCAGAGCTTGAGGCGGCAAAAGCACAGCCCCATCACTCTGGCGAGGTCCGAGGACTCAAGGATGCGGGTGGAACTGGGGTCGTAGCGATAGCGCCGCATGTCGTAGAAGGGCGTGGCGGGTTGGTGGCGTTGTCGCTTCTGGCTGGGGAGCAGGTCGACTCGGAGTGGCTTGATGCGTCCCAGGTTGCGCTGGGCGACTTGCTCCAGCTTCTCTTGGGTCCAGAAGGTCCTGTGCATGTATGGCAGTTTCTGAGCCGTCTGCATGTTGTTCATGATCATGTCGGCCAGATAGGCGCGGGGGTCCTTGGCTTGTCGCAGGTCGGATGCGATCTCGTTGATGTGGACCTTCATCTGTTGGATGAGCTTGCCGGTCGTGTCCTCCTCCCAGCGAAGAAGGTAGAGCATGTAGCGCCGGTCGTCGTCGCCGGTGATGGCCTCTGCCAATTGGTCCGTCTCGTGTGCTCCAGCGGTGGCGCGTACCACGAGGCACTTCTGGGCCGGCACGAAGCGTTCTGTGTCGTCTTGGCCGGCTGCGGTCAGGGCCTCCCCTCGGGATGCGGCTTTGGCGTCACTGTAGGTTTTCCAGGGGTGGTATTGCTGGAGGCACTCGGGACAGAAGAACTGGCCGTGCTCGGTGATGTTGGCAGTGGCGCGCAGCCAATGTGACGAATGTACCACCGCTTTGCACGACTGACGTCGGCAGATAAAGTGCTCGTCGGTGGACGGGAGGACGCGGGTGATGAAATCGGTGAGGTGTGTGGGATAGTCGTCAGAGTCCAAGAACTCAAGGAGGGTCCCGGTGCTGTTTGCGCGCAATGCCTCGGTGAGGTGCTGCCTCTCCCATTTGTGGAACATGAGGAAAAGGTCTCGTCGGTCCTCGGGTGCCAGGTTGATGAGGTCGAGGCACATGGTTTCGGCGAGGAACTTGGAGTGGTCGCTGATGAGGCGGCGCAGGTTGTTGTTGGAGGTTCCGGGGTGGATCTCGCGCAAGGAGTCCATCATGTCCATGTGGGTGTTCGTGCGGATGGTGCCGACGGCCTTGTTGGTCATGTAGTCCAAGCGGCGTCGCCATGCTCGTCGGCACAGCTTGCTGAACACCTCGAGGGTGAATGGCCGGCGGTTCTTCACGTCGAGGGCTGGTACCCTGATCCAGCGGCGGTTGACCTGGTCCCACCTGTGCACGGTGATGTAGGCGTCGTGAGCGTCGTCCGTCTCTGGCACCGCAATCTGTAAGGTCGGTGGGGCGATGGTATGGTCGCTGATCATGGCCGCGAGGTCGGGGTGCTCTGCGATGGTGTTGTACGGTGCGTGTTCTGCAATCAGGGAGTTCGGGTCGGCCAGGAGCTCCTCGAACTGGAACCATGGCACGCTACTGGTGTCGCAGGTAGCGCACCCGTAGCACGCCCCGACCCACTTGTTTCGCCAGTCGGTTTCCTCTGAGAAGCAGAGGGGCATGATGTACTGGGATTGGTATGGGATCTGGCAGAACGAGCACTGCAGTGTGGCTGGTGTTGGATTCAGGTTGTGCCAGTCCAGCAGCAGGTAGCGTGTCCGTGTGTCCGGCTCGGTGTTGGTCGACTCCATGAAGAGGTCGATCGCGTCCGTGGTGGAGAGGCGGGGATTCTCGGTGCGGAAGGTCTGGAACCTCGAGAGGACGCCGGTGTTGTAGGACCGCAGGAGGAGCTCGCAGACTGCGTCGGTCTCGCGAAGTGCCATGTTGTGCGAAGGGGGTGCGATATCGGATACACAAAAGCCAGCCTGAAAATTCCTTCGGAATTGGAGGTGGCGCTTGCCGAACTCACGCAGGAGTCGGTAGTGTGCCGGGTGTGAGTCAAGGGGGGGGGGTTGGTCGGGCCAGGGGGGAGTGTCTTGGTGACTCGGGTCCAAGGATGGCCCGTTGATGGGGGGGATCTGTACGACGCGCCACACCGGCACAAACGTCGTGTTATACGACGCGCCACACCGGCACAAACGTCGTGTTAGATGACACGCCACACCGGCACAAATGTCATCCCGAGGGGTGGAGCTGTCTCGTAGGACCAACTCCCTGCGGTGTGAGGGTGACCGGGGTCGGCCAGTTTGTCATCAGGGATCCGACCCGAAGAAACCGAGGGTAATCCACAGGGGATCCGAAGTGGGGTGAAAGACCGGTCGGGTTCGGGGCAGGCGAGTGGGGATTGGTCACCGCAGAATGGGCCTCAGCAGTGGGTCGGTTTGTCAAGGGGTATCCTCTCGAATCAAACAGGGGGGACGAAGAGGGTCGACCCGGGCTCGAGGCACTCAGCGCTTTTGCGCGGTCCGAAGATGGATCTCTCTTCGGGAAAAGGGGGCCTCAGGCGGTCGCCGAGGCATGGGTGTCACCTGTGCGGTATGAGGGTCATCGCCCTATTGCTGGCCCACCATCGCACGGGACATGGACTTGGTGGGTCAACTTAGGGTAGCTGGTTTGGGGGCTCCTCGGTGCCGCCTGGTCAGTAGCGGGAGTCCTGGCTCTGCTCAGTCTTAGAGCTCCCGGTTGAAGCGCAGGTGTCCGTCGGGGCCGAGCAGGATGCCCTCGATGGTCGCCATGGTGCGTTGTTCGGGGGTCAGGAAATTGGAAATTGTCTCAATGATGGTCTCCCCGAAGGTGATTGCCATGTTGTCCACAAAAGGGTCTCGCCGGGAGGCGCGACAGAGCTGCCTCCCGAAGGTAAGCCAGGAACAGGTCAGTTGTTGTAGCATGTGCTGCCGGTTGGCGCTGTTGAGCAGCTGGAGTTGTTGGTGAACGTGTTGCTGGATAATCCAGCGCAGCAGGCTCCTGAGAGGTGTGACCTGCGTAGTTGGTTCCACGGGTACAAGAAAAAGGCCCCCGAAGTCATTGCCGTACACATTGGTGGGGGTGCGCGAGAAGATGCCGTAGTTGGTCAGGTGCCATTGCAAGCCGATGTGGTCGAGGACGGGGGGGAATTCCGGTAGCAGTTCCGGATTGATCAGGAAGGTGGCATCTTCGTGTACCCGCGCGCGGATGTGTCCGGCCCGCTGGGTTGACAGCAGGCCTTGTGTGCTGTCGTCACGGTCGATGCCTGGCGGCTGGAGCCACTGGACTAAGTCGTGATGTTGGTTGGATGGTGTGGAGGGTGCCGCCTTGGATGGTGTGGTGGGTTGCGGGCGTGGTGAAGGCATGTGGTGCGGGACGGGCCCGGTCGATGTGGTGGTCGCCTCCGGGAATCGGGTCTGTCTGGGAGTGTCGCGAGCCGTGGGTGTCGCGAAGTTGACGGTCCGCGGTGGTGTCATAGCTCGGGAGTATCCCGGTTGTGTGGAGCGGCCTCGCTGCTGTCGGGGGTGTTGTTCCGTTGGCGAGACGGGTTCAATGTGCTTGGCGGGCCACGTGGTACCGCGTATGGCATCTGGTAGGTGCACGGATCGGGGTACCGAACGTTCGTGTGGTGAATGGGCGTGTTCCACTCGCCGTGAAGGTGGTCTCGGAGGATTTCAAAGGCCTCCCGCCTGGACACAAAGCGCCATTCACGGTGGGCTGTGTCATAGTGGATGCCCACGCCGGTGTTGGGTCTGGCATGGTGCACGAAGCGCAGCCAGGCAAGAAGGTCACCATGCAGGACTGAGTCGCTGTGAACATGGCGGCATTCGGTACCACTGTCGCAAAAGCCTTCTGGATGTCGGGCCTGTTGTCGAAGATGTCGGTAACAAATGTTGTCTCGCGGCATCCAACGCGCATCAACGAACTCCGGATGCAAAAAGGCGCACTGGTGGGCAGAGGCAGGTGCACGTCCCCTGCAGCCGGAATGGTTGATGAAATGGTTGCAGACCTGATTGCCCTGCAAGATGTTGCCCGGACCGACCGCCTCGGGCAGGATCGAAAGATGGTCTTGAAGGGCCCGGTACAGTCGTTCATAATCCGGGTCGAGCTCGGTCATTTCCATGAGCTGGTACTCCTCCACGATGGATGCGAAATTCGCTGGAGCAGTCATGGCGGTCGAGTAGGCAGGGCAGGTAGGTCGGAAAGAAAAATTTGGCTAATTCGCCAAAATGGCGAACGGAGCATGAATCAAGCAGTGTCATCCTGCAGGCACTCAAGGTTCGAATCTGAGTGTGATTCAAATGCCTTCCGCTATCGGTTGTTACTTTTAACACACGTGTTAACCGCAACACTGCTGGTTGCGACCTTCCCTTACTATCCTTTACCCACCCGGGTTTTGTTGGCTCAACTGAACAGCCCAGTCAACGCTGGGCGTCTGGATCCTTCCAGTCATCTTTCTCCAGCGATGCCCCGAGGAGATCGAGTGAGATCTCCCCCAGCAACTTCTCGAAGATCGGCGTCTTAGCGCCGGACGGCGCCTCGCGTCCAGCGAAAAAGGCCGTGATCAGTGATGGACAAACGCTTTGGCGCATTCTTGGCGGTAGAAAGTTAAGCTATCCTGGTTCAGCTCGACTCGTTGAATCGAGTGTCCATGGGTGTCCTTTCCAATTGGTGTCGTCAGATAATGAATGCCAAATCATAGTTTCAAGGATTGCTTCTTGCGGGCACTGTTGGTAAAGGCACTCTTGTGACCAAGCGATCACCGATTCATTCATAAATCAACTCCATAATCTCGACGGTACATAGTTGGGGACCCCCTCCCCTTTCCTCTCAATGGTTGTTATTATAATAAGCAATGGGATATAATATCTTGTATGAAAATACGCACGCGGTGAAACAATGTGTGAATTGGGGCGGCTTTTGAGAGGGATGTTTCCAGAATCCGCCCTCCAGCCTGGTTTGCTGGCTGATTTTGGGAGGAACTTTTCTTACCCCAGCCTCTAAATAAACATGTTTTGGCTCGATACTCTGGACTATGTTTTGTAAACACTTTCCAATGGCGGTTCCATTGGCATACCAGCGCCTACTAGCCAGGGACAAAAGGAATCACTGGGTTTACACTGCAAGCGGCATGTTCGCTTTTGCTTCCGACTAAAAAGTCACCAGTGTCTTTGTTTCTGCGAATTTAGCAAAGCTTCAAATGCAAAAACATACCATTTGAGTCGCAGCTTGGGGCCCTGTTTGCAGCCATGCCTTGTTCTGCAGGATCGTGGTGGGCGCCCGGTCTCGGATCTTCCCAATCTCCTCGCAGCTCGGAAAGCCGAGTTGGTCACGCTGTTTGAGGCTCCCCTTTGCATTCCTCCGAGGTAGACTTTTGCCCCATTTTTCTCCTGTTGGAAACCATTACCACCCCGGTCTCCCTGAGTTGATCCACTTTCGGCATCCGAGACTCTCGCTTGTTGGGTGATCCTTTGAGGTCCCTTTGAAGGTGTGATGCGTGCGTGGAATCCCATGGTTGCAATGACAAAAGGACTTGCGCATGGGCGACTGGAAATCCACCTCTGTCGGAACTCAAGCTCTGGCCTGGTCTAGGTGCTAGCTTCTTAGGGGGTGTCCAAAGAAGCTGAGCAAACAGTCTCCTTTGCAACTAGGGAAAGCTACACCATGACCTCGACCAAATGAACATGAGAGCTCTGAGGCTAGTTCTACTGTTACTCTCCAGGCTCTTGGAAGACGATTCTCCAAACACCTGTCAGGCTGTACACGCAGTCTGCTCCCATGGCCACGGCTTTAGTCTTGAAGTACTCCGCCCCATCTAAAAATTGTTCAGCCCCTGACCGCCCCTTTTTTCAGTAGCAGGGTTAGGCCCACTCCTTCAAACATGCTTGTGTCATGGTGGGAGGCTCTTTATCCTAGTATTTGTCGGGGCTACATCCCAAGTGCAACGTGGATTTTGCCCCCATTGTGTGACACTGGCATAATTGTGGGACAAAAATAAGGGGATCAATTAGTAAAGCACCTTCATCGTGGGTGAAGCCATGTATGGGCTCCCCGATTTTGGCACACCCCCTAGACCTTCCAAGTCCTCGGCATCGGTGTAGAAGGAGGGCTGCCAGCAGCGCCGGCGCACAAAGCTCACCGAGCCGCAGTAGGGCAGCCACCCCGTGTTGCCGACCACCTCGGGTTTCCTCTTGTTTTGAGAGTGCGTACTCCTTTTCATGGCTTTGAAGGAAATCCAACTCAAACAAATTCTGGCCTTATTTGATCTCAGTCAGGCTAAATTAAGGCCGACCGGGTCTTTGCGGTGTGGTCGGTATGATCCATGGTTCCTCGTATAAATAAGAGTACGACCCTACAAAACCTGGAAATGAAAGGCCCGCCCTGCTGTGGCCACAAAAAGAGAAACAACACCATCGGAGTACCAAAAGGCTTTGGACAAGCGAGGGTATGTCTTTCAAATTGGGCAAAGGGGGACCGCCCGGAGGAAAATTGGCCCCAAACCGGGTCCCAAAAGAGGACTACCGGAAAGGGGACCACCAAAAGGAGACGCAGAGGTTTCCAAACACAGATCTGGAAAAGGCCATTCCAGATTCTGAAACGAACCCATTCAGGGGGAGTTGCGCTGAACAAAGGTCGCACATCGCCTGTTTCGAACTCGATGGCCCGGGGAATTAACCACACAAGCGTCCTTAAGTTTGTTGAATCTCACTTTGGTCCAGGAAAAAATGAACCAGGTCGGCCACCCAAGGTGTTTCCCAGAGGCACCCCTAGAAACAAATCCTTTACGAGTGCCAATCCTTTACAGTCCTTCAAGTTTCAATGACAACACCCCCTTCCTTTGCCAAGCACCTGGCTCCCTTGGAACAAAACATGGGGTACAAGACCCCTCTCCATTTCGGAGACAGTCAATATCATGACCATCCGGAGACTAACCAGGTACGAAATGGGATTTTCTCCATTTCGGTGACCCACCAAAGGACGGGTTCGCCGTCAAAACGTCAAAAGTCCGACCCCCGTGCTTCAAGCGGCGAAGTCGGTGGAGTACTGCCAGCCCAACTCATCGGTCTCGCCGTCCACCGGGCAAGTGCTCCTCAAGGCTGGCCGCGCTCGGGTGGTGCGTGTGGTGTGTGTGGTGTTTGTGTTTTGTGTTTGTGTTTTGTGTTTGTGTTAGTGTTTGTGTTTGTGTGCGTGTGCGTTTGTTTTGTTAAGGGCACCCTGATCAGAATAGTTCAATTGGGAAACCCAAGGGAAACCACATGCACAAATGGGATTGTCTCAAAATGAGGGTATCAACCCTAGGGACTTCGTCGTCTTGTTGAGAGAACCTTCCAAAATGCGTGATCTATTGTCCTTCAATGCAACCCAACAAGAAGGACACCCCAAAAAAACAAACACGCCCGTTGTGTCCTGGTGACGTCACTGCTTTCAAGGGTTTACAGGGTTTGCCTTTAGCATGACGCCCCGAAAATGGATTTTTGCGCTTTGTCGGGGCCCCTTCCTCCTCAGGTGATCAAATCCAGGCCCCTTTTGGTATGCTTCGACACCCTTTGAAGCCTTCGTTTTGACCAGTTCCTATTCCATTTTCGAAATGGCTCAGAGCAAATTCCACCAAGTGGCTCACCTACAATTGGTCCAAACAGTGGTGCTTAACTTTCAGAAAAGGGAACGTCGGTTCTTGAGTGGACCGGCCAATACAAGTCGAAACAAGCTGTTTGCCGCTAAAGTGGTCCAACCCCGAAAAGTACAAAGTCCATGAACTCAGAAGGTGGTGAAGGAGAGGACATTTAGGGACCTCCGACCTTCGGCAACCGACCCCTAAGCCCCGAAAGCCGTGGCTCCAGCTGCACTTCCGCCGCTGGCCCAGGAACTCCACCGTCTCCACCGGCGGAGTCTCGCTCTCCTCAGAGAGAGACCATGGGACCCGCGGAATGGATGCCGTGGCTTTTGCTTAAGGCGACCTATGGGTTGCAAATGCGTTCCCTTCGGATGCTCAAGTGATTCTCCTGTGCAAGCTGGGGTCTGAATAAGTGCCTACTGCTGTGTGCTAGTGCCAATCTGACGGTGGGTTCAGACACCACGGGCCAACGCCCCTGAATAAGTACTTTCAACATAAGTGTCTGAATGACCTCAAAGCCTTAGGGGGAAATGTGTGCAGTTGGTCCCATGAAATGGTAAAGGGTTTCTTTGTCGGTGGTTTTCTATGAATGAGGAAGTGACTGTACACGACGTGTTGTGTATACCTGCAAAAAGCCCGACTCAGAAACCGTCTGGACAACAACACTCATTTCCCCATTACACAGGCAGCTTTGGCCTTTCCAAGGAGGTTAAGGACCCGGCCCCTTTTGGTTTCCCGTTTAAGTGTTGGCACCTTGAACGACCGGCAATATGCTGACCCCCAGATGTTGATCTGGCCAGCAGACCTGGACCAGTTTATGGGTTGCTTGCGGCCTCTCTTTTGAACAGGGAGCTTCTCCAAATGGGTGTGATGTTTAAGTGGCGACTCTCTGGTGCACATCAGTTTGGCACCAACCATTTGGGAGGGTATTTTTCCATAAAAAACATGTAGCCAAATGATGGACCCCTTTTGGTTGGTATGTTGGTGGAAACCAAAAATAGCTGGCTGCTTTGCACTGTTTTTAAAAGGAAATTGCAACACAACGCCAACCACTTTGATGGGACTTGTGACACCTCCCTCTTGACACTCTCTATCTCTCTCTCCATCTGTTTCTCTCTGTCGCTCTCTCCCTTTCTGTCGCTGCCTCTCAAACTCTATCTCTCTCTCTCTCTCTCGCTTTGTGTCAATTTCAGTTGCTTCGGCGCAAACAAACGATTTGCCAGTCATGCCATGTCCCTTTCATGTTTACCAGAGCTAATAAGACCAATTGCTCAATGGGCCTGGATCACTTCAGCGGGAACATCCCCTGCCGATCTGCCAGAAAACAAGATCGGCAATAACATCAACCCCAATGTCAACTTCGGATTCGCCCTTAATGACCCTGAATAGACACTCGTAGTCACCAATAGTCACTATTACGCTGCAATATGGGTACCCTTGCTATGGCTCTGACTCGGTATGCGGTGCTTCTCAAGATCGAGAACACCTTCACATTGGTTTCCTACAAATGCCACGAAAAAAGGGGAACCCTCCACGAGACAGACGCGCGCGCGCACAAAAAACAAACAATAAGCACTCCGGGGCTCGGCGATCCGTGCTTCATTGGCGTCCGCCGAGATGAAGGGATGCCGGGTGTAGACGTTGTCCTAGAAGATTGGAAGTGTCCGTGAAAAAGTGCTTTAAATCTAGTGGGTACGTTGCTTTGTTTGCGGGTGATGGAGACTTCAGGTAACCGGTAGGTGTCTCGCTTGACCTGGCTTGTCTTTGAATGGAGGAACCCCAAAACAGATTGGTTTCTCTTTGGAGCACCCCCAAAAAGGCTGCCACACAAAAAGCGTACTTGGACACACAACCCTTGTCGTAGGGACCAGCATGGGACCTGCCAAAGGTCAGCGGCTGGCCTTCTAGTCTAAACAGGTGATGTGTAAATCCCCCCAAAAGGGGAATATGAGAGTGTCTCCAAATACAAACACCCATGCGTGGCTTCGGTTTGGTTTCTCCGTTAAAACAAAAAAAATAGAATTGGTTCCCTCCAAAGAACAACACACAAACACAGATCACAACCAGCACCCCCCAATGGCTGGCCAATTGCCGGCACATCGATTTTGGGCAAAACGATGTCACTTTATGTCTAAGTGACTGCAAAAGCAATTTGCTATCAATTATCACTCATCTGTACTTAGTGCAATTTGTGCAATGATACAAGTGACCTTTCAAGGTCCTTTGGAATGGGGTTGCAGGGGAAAGGGGAGAGCAGAAAATTTGAGGTTTGGAGGGCAAGTTTGAGGTTGGGAGGGGTTCTTGAGGAGCGTGTCACGGCGTGTCACTGCGTGTCGGGGGGTGGCCAATTGCCGGCACATGTACGTTGAACGGTCACTTTTTTGGGATATGAGCGTGTCATCAGCGTGTCGCCCCCCCTCCCCCCCCACCGTTGCATGTGCAATGATCATACATGCCAGCCCAACCCCTCAATTGGATCCCCTCTAGTATCCGGAAGTGACGTTTCAACAAAAGTGACTTTTCACTGCACTTTGATGATGGCAAACAAATCCATGTGACTACAAAACTATTTTTAAGCAAGTGCTGGTCAATTGCCGGCACTTCACCCGGGACGCCAATTACCGGCCATCGGGGGGGCCTGGAAAATGATGTTCCTTATTATTTCCCTTTAAACCAACCTAAAGGGTACCCACAACGGGCACACGCCCCAACCCAACCCCGTTGCATACGATCGGACCGCGGGTTCCTCGAAGGCGACCCACTTCATCTTGGCAACACCGTCGTGGAGCCAGTATGGGGTCTTCCTCGCCAAAGCCGAAACGGCGGTACCGCAACCGTTCCCCTAATCAACCAAGGAATGGCTCGGCCTAGCAAGCTGAAGCGATTGATTTGTCTGTACAGTGTCTGTAGCCTTCTTTGGCGTTAGCCGAGGCTTCTGCCTTTTGCCCTGTTTGCCTTGCTTTCCCTGATTCGGCATTGTTTAGCCTTCTGTGGCCCAGTCTCAAACGGATACCGAATATGAATACCCTCCCAAAAATAAAAACGGAACCAAGAGGCTGGTTGGCACTTGCTTCCTCTGAATTGGTCCCTCGCGGCTCCATGTTTGTTTTCACCAGGCAACATCCCAGTTCAACTTGTGTGGGATCATCCACGTTCGACTTTCAACAAGCATCATTCACAGCGTACAAACTAAAAAAGGGTCAAGTCAGAAGCCAGCAGACTTGCTCAGTGGCTTCCCATTTGAGACGACTTGCTTCTTCGTTTGGCGGTTCACGGCCAAGAGATACTCAGAAACAGGTACAATGGGTGGAATTCACTTCGCAACTGGATCAAAGAGGACACCAAGCAGCATAAGTTGCACAATCTAAACAATTGGTCAATATTAATTGTATCCCAACAGCAGATCACATCGGTCCATACTCCGGCAAACAATATTTCTTGGAGAATTGTCCAACCCCCACCCAGGGCAGAACACGTGGTCCTTTTGACATCTTTTCTGGGACCTGTGTGGCATCTGTCCAAACGGCACTTGGACCTCAGGCAAGGTAGTTGACCTGCAAACAATGCGATCATGTACCCAAAATCATGGGTGCATTATCTCATGGCTGTGGTGTCATGGACTCCAGTCAGTCTAAAAAGGAACCATCATAAATAGGTATCTAAGGGAACCACCACTACACAACTAAGTTTGGAACAAATCTGGGAACAAACCTTCAGTGGCTTGCTATGGGAATATCGGGAAGCCTGGAAATCGGGTTCAACAAACGCCATCTCGCGCCAGAAGGGTTCAAAGGGGTGTTTTCTTCAGATAGGAGTCCCCATAAACTGGCTGGTTCCTTTTGGTTTTCCACCAACAAGCTCCGAATCTGAGAACCCCCTCGGGTCCAGTGGTGCTTGAAGAGGTTGGTCCGCCTCTCCAGCTCCCACATGGACAGCTCCTTCAGCACCTCCGGATTCGTTGCTCGGGTTTCGTGCGGAACTGACCCAAACTTACCACAAAAAAGGTTCGTGTACTCAGTGGATCCCTCGTGAACCCCTAGTAGGTAACCCTTCACCATGTTCCTTTGCGCATAGGATGGTTCCACTACTGTTCCATTGGTTACAAAAGGGCCTAGTCAGAAAAATATTACACAAACTGTACAATTGCTCAGCCCCTCAGATTGCATGATAGGACCCCCGGATTGTTCCGGACTAAAACGCCTCGATCGCGTTTGCCAGCCCCCCCCCCCCCCCAAACCCCCCGCCACAGGCCTCGTCTGGGGAGATCATGGAGGCGGTGCGCACCAAGCGGGTCTGCGGCGCTTTGGCCTCGGGGGATTTCACCGTGGCGGACTTTTCGTAGGCGCCGAAGAGGTCCGCGCCCACCTCAGCTGAGCCGGGTGCGCTTCGGGGGCTTCTGGTCTTGTTTCTGTTCTTGTGTTTTTGCTTTGTTTTTCCTCTTTTTTGTGACATTTGCGAAGTTCAGATCAACCAGATTCGATTCAGCCTTTCGAGGGCGCCTGGCCCGAGCCTGCTTGGGGCATGGGTTGCTGGAATAGGCGCGCCAAGCCGATTGCCTTCGAATCCCGTGAAGGGTCAAAGGTCAACGGGCCTTTGGTGTTTGGATGGTGTTTGGAGGGAAACCAAAGGTGTCCAGAACGAGATGTTTTGCATACTGTTGCAGGTGCCCCCCTACAGAGTTTGCTTTTTGACACCTCGAACAAATACAAGGGCACCTCCAAAATGGCTCCGGCTCTTCCCTAACAGGAAATCTAGACGGCAAACCCTGCTTAGTTTGCTAGGGTTGGTGAGTTTTCGGGGCCTATCAGAATGGGCTGCTAAGGAGTTGTGGGGCTTGGACGGGGTCAAGGTTGGGGTCGGCTTTTTATAAGGCATTTGAGGCTTGTGGGTTTTAGGCTTAAACAAAAAAATGAGGAGGTCAAGGCCGAGGTTTGGGTGCTTTAAGGCATTTGAGGCCTGCGGAGGGTTGACATTTATAAGGGTTCGGGTTTGGGGGAGTTTGAGCGGGAACTGTTCCAACGACCTAGTCTGTTTCCAGCCAGTGCCTCCTAAGCAAGTATGGCATCCTGCTCTCGTCAGAGAGTAGGCCGAAAGGGTAAAACTTGAGTAGCAGAAACATCAGTTGGCTCACTGAAAGCCAGTCTGCGAAGAAAGCAGGCCTGGTTCAAAACTCGAAGCTCTGTTTAGTCGCCGCCTACAAGGTCAGGGAGCTTCTGAAGGGGACGTCTAAGCCGGTTGATGCTCTCTGAAAAAAAGGGCCGATCCGTTTCATGCCGGCCCCGGATATTGGTCACAAGGAGTGCGGAAGGGCGAGCATAAGCATATACACAAAAGTATATAGTATAAAAGTGACATTACCAGGTTGCCAATGTTCAACTGCTCAAGGACCCTTTCCCGCAACATCTCCCTCCATCGCGGTTCAGCATGTCCATCCGCTCCCTATGAGACTGGTCAAAACTCCTCAACACGGCCCATGCATGTGTTTTTGTAGGGAACCTTCTAACGGTTGAAAGGATGACTGACCATCCTGACTACCCTCTCATCAAGAAACTTGGAAGCACACCTTCCTTCCCCTCAACAAAGTGTTCCGCAAGGGTCTGTGAACCAAACCACGTTTGGTGGGAAGTGATCCCAAAGCGTGTTTGGATTTCACGTTTTGATCCTTTCTTCCAAAGCCGAGGGGCGAAGTACCTCACACACTTTTGCAGCAGCCCCAAATCTCCGAACTCGAAGATGCGCAGGTCCAGCTCCTTGATGGCCTTTTCGGGAACCACGACAAAGGGAATCCCAAAAGAGCAGTCATGCGTGGATGACAAACACAAAACAACAACCTTAAATTCATGAGAAATGACACAGTCTCCATAGAGATACGGAATCCTCCAAAGTAACCCTGGTTGCATTTGGTTGCCCTCTCAACCGAAAGGAGGCAAGAAGGCTCCGCAGTCGCTTTGCCACACCGCATAGGGAAGCCTAGCGGGTTTATGGAGAGTGATCCACTGATTCGTCCCTTCAAAAGACTTAACGGCTTCCTGGCTGATGCCATTTTTAAAAGTGAAGGTCCCTTCCGGACGCGCGTGCGAATTAGTGCCGCTTTGAAGTTGAAAGGCAACAAAAACAGATGGTAATTTGACCAGGTTTGGGTAAACGCTCAGTCGACCATTTTGGTTTGCCTCACACCAAATAAATCGTTCGGGGCAACCTTGGTCATGACCCCAAATTCAATCAAGATCACATCCGCTGCTTAAACTGAACGGTCCTGGTTTTTCTCGACATCCGCTGTCCCGACAAGGGGCGCCAAAAGAATGGTTTTGCCTGGTTGAATGCGTGCACAAACCTCATGCCGCCAGCTTCCCGGCCTGGCCGTCAAAATCAATGTCATCTTTGAAACTCACCAGCACAGGGTACGTGTGGGAGTCCGAATTCTCCTCTAGTCTCAGGCCTTGGCTTGCGCCGCTCTCGCCCACCGGGGCGCGCTCCGGGAATTCTTAATGGAGTCTTACTTCACAAAAATAGTTGAGAAATCCTATGACTCGTTAAAGCAAGACTGACATCTTTCTACATGCTGTTTTGTAGTATAATGGTCTCGCGAGAGTAAAAAATCTCAACTCAAACTCCAGCTAGGTTTCCGAACCTAAGCCAAGTGAGCTTTCTGATAGAATGCAGGGACGCTGCCGCGGCTGCGGTTCTCAATCGATTGGCTGCGACGGCCTTCCCACGGTCGGCCCTATGACTGCCAACTCTGGATAGCGTGGCCTCGTGGAAGAAGGAGCAGCACGCCAGAAGAAAAAACAACTCAAACACTCCGAGGCACGCATCTGACAGAAGAATGCAGCTTGCGCAAGGCAGAAGGCGAATGTGGAAGACGCTAAACAAAACTGACACGCGGAGCTCCCAAGGAATAGAACCTCTGGAACACTGAATGATGTAAGGATACCTGGCCTGCCGTGGAAACAGTATCTCACAGCTTGTCCTTTGACAAGCTCAACCCAAGCAACTGTTTGTGCGCTTGAGGATAGCAAGCAATGCTTGGGCCCCCGACCAGGACAAACCAAGTGAGTGGTGGTTTGTATTCCTTTTAACATGACGTATCAAACCCTTCCGCGAAACCTTTCGCGAAGCTTCCGCGGTGTGAAGGGTACCTTCTGCGAGCTTGTTTCTATCAATTTCTTTGTAAATGCTTCCGCTTCGACAGAGATGCGCAGGCTGCAAGGCAGGCGCTACGGCGCGAGGACGAAAATGACGACCTGCTGCGCGACGATGAGGAAGGTATCGCGCGTGGCGCAGCCAAGCTGAGTGAGCGGATACCGAACATTCTCCTTGCAATCGAACTGGAGAAGGGCAGCGTCAGCTGTGAGGCCAGCCGAGGACAAGGATGACAACGATGCGTCTTGCCTGCGGGCGGAAGTCTGGTGCCAGCGGTACGCCTCAAGAAACTCCACATGCGCCGTCAAGCGATGGATTATCGAAGCTCCCGCCGTGTGAAGAGCCAGCTTGCTAGCGTTGGGCAGCTTCTGCCTCTCTGCATTTCTGGTAGAAAAGCATTCTGCTGCTGAAGGAAGGCGCGGAGCCGGCTGATGAGCGGGAACTTGTCTTTGTCCACCAACTTGGAGACCAGTTGGCTAGAGCCAAAGACGGCAAAGTACGCGGGCCAGATCGCCTCAAATCGCTTGTTCAAGTGGTGGCAATGCTAGCACACATCCGCCGACTCCTGCAGCTCTTACAGTCTGGATGTGGAGATTGCTTGCCGTGAGCCACCTCTAGGCGCGGAAGGAGTTTGCACGGGGGTGGCGGCGGTGGCGAGGATTGCGCCACTGCCTGGCGCGTTTGCTGAGGTAGGTGCCGCTGAGGGCTCTGCCAAGGAGCTGACTTCCGCCGTCTGTGCGGACTGGGCCTGCAACAATTGGCTTGGCAGGCGGAAGTGGCGCCGCTAGCGCGCCAGCGTTGGGTCCGCAGACGCCTGGGCAAGAAAAGGCGCAAAGTACCGCAACAACACGCAGCCCAATTTTCAATGCTGCAACCCAGAATTCATGCCTTACCCGAACACACGAACCTGGTTATAAGCAAAACGCTCTGTTCACTGAACGTCTGCAAGATATGTGGTTTTCGGCTTTGCTCCTGGGATGGCTTCTTGCCTCCGTCCTGCCGCCAAAGTCAGTTCGTTCGGGAGAGGCACCCTTTGCGTCACCGCGCGTTGCTCCTGCTAGGGATCAAGAGTGTCCCTTTCCTTTCTTGGGGGCTGGGAGGCACCTCATTTCTGTCCCAGAAAGCCAGCGCATCCAAAAAGGATCGGCTCCCGCAAAACCCGTCCTGCAACAACTAAGAACAGCCTGCTGATCAAAACAGCTCAAGGCACACAATTTCATCCTGCCTGTCAACAGCCAGCAGTGCTAAATTGCACGAGCCCCCTGCGGGAAGGAATGAATAAGTGTTTTCAATACGTTGGGCAGAAAGAAGTAACACCTGCAACCCTCGACTCAAAATTTGTAGTAAAACACATCCATCCCTTCTCGCAAGGGCTCGACTCAGATACTGCCCCAGCCAGCACCCTTTTTTCCTCAAATTTCCAGGTTGATGTGCTTCTCGCATCAAAACTGCACACTACCGTTTCGATTTGAACATCTGGCTGATGTTGCCAGACGGGGGCTCTTTTCTTCCATTTGTTCGCGTGGGAATTTGAATGTTGTAGACTCGACAACATTTCTCGTCGATTCAACACCATTCCCCGTGTCGCCCACTCGACAACATTTCTCGTCGGTTCGACAACATTTCCGAGAATGTTGTCGGGTCGACAACTCTTGGAAAGTTGAAAATGTCGTCGACTCGACAACATTTCTCGCCGGCTCGACAACATTTCCGAAGATTTCGTCGAATCGACGACATTTCTCGTCGATTTGACAATTCTTTCCTTTTCCTGTGGAACATTGCAAATGTCCTCGACTCGACAACATTTCTCGCCGATTCGATTCGACCTGAAATTCTTCGACTCGACAATCAACTTCTTCATTTTTCCCGTGAAAGTTGAAAATGTCGTCGACTCGACAACATTTCTCGTCGATTTGACAACATTTCCGGAAACTGACACGCCAACATTTCTTGTCGATTCGACAACTTTTCCGTTTTTCCCAAGAGGAAACTGAAAATGTCGTCGACTCGACAACATTTCTCGTCGATTCGACAACATGTCCGGAATTTTTGTCGACTCGACAACATTTCTCGAAGATTCGACAACACTTCTCGACTCGACACCATTTCTCGTCGATTCGACAACATTTCCGGAAATGTTGTCGAATCGACAACATATCTCGTCGATTCGACAATATTTCTGGAAAGGTTCGTCGGTTGGTGTTTTTTCCAAAACAAACTGTGAACACGCTTATTTTTTATGCAAAAATGACCAAAACACTTATTTTTGTGCTCCCAACTCCGTGAAACCACCTATTAAAGATGCTGCGCAAAAATGTTGTCGACTCGACAACATATCTCGTCGAATCGACAACATGCATTTCCAGAAATGTTGTCGAATCGACGAGATATGTTGTCGAGTCGACGAGATTTCCGGAAATGTTGTCGAATCGACGAGAAGTGTTGTCGAGTCGACGACATTTTCAAATTTCACGCCAAAAAGGAAAGAGTTGTCGAGTCGAGCAGATTTCAGGAAATGTTGTCGAATCGACGAGAAATGTTGTCGAGTCGACGAAATCTTCGGGAACGTTGTCGAATCTTTGCGGCCGCCCTTGTAAGGCAGATTAAGGCAGTGAGCGCCTCCATGCCATCCGCTGTTGCCAGTGTTGCTTGAGTTCGCGCTTCTGCTTGTGAACGCTTGTTGCTTGAGCTGTGCTCCGTGCATGAGGGCATGCCCAGACTCTTGTGAATGAAGCTTCCGCAACGCATTTGCATTTCCAACTGCGACCGTGAGACTCACTGATTCTTCCGAGGCAAACTGCAACAGAAAGAAGATGCCACATGACACATGATGCCACCAAGCTAAATCCTCAATGAGTTGCATGGTCCTTGGTTGATCCGGAAAAGGCTCTTCGAGCTTAAGGATTTCGATTTCCATTGAACCTGCAAATTGCAAAAGGTCAGACTATGTGCAAGTAAAACCCCATTCAGGTTGGAAGAAAACCGATATCGTCCATCAGATCTGTCGCCTCCAACGTTTCAACAGGGGGAACCTGGTTGCATCCTTCAGGAAGTGTTCAAACCAGTCCGCGAGTCGTGTGAAACACTTCTTCATTTGGAATATATATAGGCCCCCCCCCGGAGCGCGTGCAATTTAGCAGCCAGCCGGGCGCGTGTACGACGTTGGCGTTGCCAAAATTGGCAATCGTTTGTGTTGCCCCCGAACCCAAATCATTCGCTTGAAGGGCCCGAGCTGCATCAAACACGACAGCCCCGCGCCCGTTGTTATCCTCCTGACACTCCAGGGTGACAAGGCTGCAGCCTCCGGCCCCAAGGCGGCCCACCTCCCGCAGGTGACCAAGCTTCACCCGTCGTGCCTTCCGATGATGCCGTTCGGGCCGCCGGCACCCGCGACCCCCACCTCCGAATCGGAGGCGCTCTTTTGCCCCTTGCGCCGCGCCACTCTAATTGAAGCTGAGCGGGGGATCAATCGGACTGAAAAAGCGTGGACTCCAACTCCAACCTCCAATGGGGGGTGCGCTTCAATCAAGTGCAAGTGCGCAAGGCGCACAGTAATCTCTGCAATGTCAATTTTAATGTTGCAAGCAGGCCGACTGCAGTCAAAGGCAGTGGAGACTGCAAAATCTCATGTGCAACATGTGAAGTAGGAGGGCGCAAGCATGACGAGTTAAAGCCAATGATAAGGCAACCAACCACTGCTCACTCAGCCAAAACAAAGGGCGAGGAAGGAAGCATGGGCACTGGCTTACGAGCCTTACGAGCTGTACGGACACGCGGGCCCGTGAACAGCTTGCGAGGCGCAAAGGCCGCAATTGGCCGATAAATTTGCAACTGAACAAGCGCGAATTTGCAGGAGAAGACAGCGGCTTGCAGCACTACGGCTGGAGCCATTCACAAATGGCTTGAGCCAAAATGGCTGCGGGGCCCAAATGCAAAAACAACCATTGGTTAAAATGGACCTTCCTGAAACACACTGCGGACGTTTCAGATGTGAAGCTCTCTCGCACAGACCCCGCGCTTGCAGGCTACACTTGAAGCAAAGAGATAAACATCCAAAATGGCACT